TATCCACAAACAGTGTGGTGGCATCATCATCACCATATCCTAATTCCTTCATGAGATTCACTAACCACATAGCTTGGCAAGCACTCAATGATGCCGCAATATACTCGGCCTCACAAGAAGAGAGTGCTACAACCGGTTCCTTCTTCGAACACCATGAGATTGGTGTACTACCGAACATAAAGATGTAACCCGCTGTAGATTTCCGATCATCTTTATCTCCGCACCAATTAGAATCAGTGTAGCCAAGTAAAGTACATTTGCGATCCATATCCGATGTGGGAAACAAAATACCACAACCAAGAGTACCTTTCACATATCTAAGGATTCTCTTGACCGCCGCCAAATGAGACACCTTAGGTCTCTCCATGAATCTACTCACAATACTGACACTAAAAACCAAGTCTGGTCGAGTATTGCACAAATACCGTAACGATCCAATCAAACTCCGGTAAAGTGTTGGATCCACATCATCCTCATCATCACTTTTGGACAGCTGAACTCTAGCCTCACAAGGTATATTAGAAGCATTACAATGCTCCATTTCACACTTTTTCAAGATATCTAGAGCATACCTTCTTTGATGCATAAGCAGCCCCACTTTTGACTTGTGGAACTCTATGCCAAGAAAGTATCTCATGACACCAAGGTCCGTCATCTCAAACTCACTCATGAGCTCCCCTTTGAACCTTGAAATACTCTTGTGATTGCTGCCCGTAATCAAGAGGTCATCAACATACAAGCATAGTATAATAACACCATCAATATTATCCGATCTCACATAAACACCATGTTCGGATACACATCGTTTGAAACCGATGTCAACAAGAAAGTCTTCTATACGTTGGTTCCAAGCTCTTGGAGCTTGTTTCAAACCATACAACGCCTTGTGTAGCTTGTAATACCTCCTCTCTTGATTTTTAATCACGAAACCGGGTGGCTGCCCCACATAAACTTCCTCATCAAGAGGACCATTCAAAAACGCAGATTTTACATCCATTTGGTAAATCACCCAATTGTTGCTATGCGCAATCCCAACAACCAAACGAATAGTCTCCAATCTAGCCACCGGTGCGAATACCTCCTCGTAATCTATACTTTCACGTTGCAAGAACCCTTTCGCCACTAATCGAGCTTTGTGCTTGATTACTTCACCTTTAGGATTTGCTTTAACTTTATAGACCCATCGCACACCTATAGGTTTCTTTCCGAGTGGTAAATCGACCAACTCCCAAGTACCATTTTTCTCAATAGATTCCAGCTCCTCTTTCATTGCACATATCCATTTAGGATCGCTTAAGGTTTCCTCCTTATTTACCGGTTCAGATTCGGCCATAAGCGCGAAATGAACAAAATCACCATCATTATTCACTTCGTTATCTTGAAACCTCTCGTAGTCTCGGAGTCTATGAGGCAATGCTCTTTGTCTCATTGGTCTACCATTATTCACTACAACATTTTCCGCTACTGTAGGTGCAGGTACAGCGACATCGGAACCCTCCGGATCAGACAACTCGAAGAACTGTTGATGTTGTCCTGCTGTTTCAGCAACTTTTATTTCTTCAAAAAATACATCCCAGGTTATCACGATTTTCCGATTCTTCTCATCAAATAACTTGTAACCTCCAGTAGAGTGATATCTAACAAATATCAACTTCTCACCTTTATCATCCAACTTCTTTCTAAGTTGATTCGGTACATGACGATATGCAATCGATCCAAAAACGCGCAAATGATTCACACTCGGTTTGAAACCACTCCAAACCTCTTCTGGTGTGATCTTCTCCAGCTTCTTAGTAGGACACCTATTCAACAAGTAGGTGGCTGTAGACATGGCCTCACCCCACAATTCCTTAGGCAACTTCTTCCTACAAAGCATACTACGCACCATGTTCATTATTGTACGATTTTTTCTCTCGACAGCTCCATTTTGTTGAGGCGTATTTGGAGGCATCACCTCATGCACAATACCCTCAAGATCACAAAACTTACCAAACTCACTAGAAGTATATTCACCTCCACCATCCGTTTTGAGAATTTTGAGCTTCCGACTGCTTTGACGTTCCACCATGGATTTGAAACTCTTGAACACTCCAAATACCTCACCCTTCCTCTTGATAAGATATGTCCAAAGCTTCCTACTAAAATCGTCAATAACATAACAAAATATCGATTGATTCCATAAGTCTCTACTTGCATCGGTCCACAAACATCGGAATACACCACCTCAAGTAAGACTTTGGTTCTTCGACCCGCATCCTTGCTAAACACATTCTTGTGTTGCTTACTCTTCACACATTCCTCACATAATTCTGTTGGAACACTAATATGTGGCAGCCCCGTTACCATTTCACTTTGTTACAACATTTTGAGATCCCTAAAATTTAGGTGACCAAGACGGTAATGCCATAACCACTCATCTGTACTTGCCGCGGTAGCTAAACAACGATGCTCCATAACCTTTAACTCAACCTTAAAGTTTCTATTGGCAGCCATCGACGCTTTTAGAATCAACACACCACTTGAATCTAAAACATGTAACATCTTGTTCTCCAACCGAATTAAGTACCCTCTTTCAAGTAATTGGTCAATGCTCAAAATATTTCACTTAATTCCCGGTATGTACAAGACATCTTTGATCCTTGAATGTCCACCATTCTTCCTTCCGATCAAAACATCTCCTACCCCTTCGGCGCTTAAAGTGGTGTCGTCGACAAACTTGACTTTACTCTTTGTCGCTTGATTGATTTCCACAAACCAACCCTTCCGACCCGTCATATGTATTGAACAACCGGAATCCAAGTACCATTCATCTTTACTTTGAACTCCATCACGCATGGTAAGTAATGCATTTCGATCCGAGCGCATTTTTCCACCACTTTCCAAAATAGTACAACTGCTGTCCCACAAACTATCACCACAGTAGCTGCTGCCCGGAGCCTCAACAATGCCATAATTCTCCTCCGTAATCATCACAAGAAGGGTATCTTCATCATCTACCTCTTCCCTAGCAACCTTAGCCTCATCCGCATATTTTTCTTTGCGTTTTGAGCGACATTCTTTCGCAAAATGCCCAAGCTTTTGACAATTATAACACTTCACAGAACTTTTGTCAAACGGTTTGTAGGCGCTTTGATTACCCTCTTTGGAGCTTCTTTCACCCTTCGAATTTTGTGGATCTTTTCCACCAAAATTCTTCTTACTCTTTGAAGACCACTTCCCTTTTGTTCTCTTGTTCTTCTCATGTAAACGCGCTTGCAAAGCGATCTCCGCTTTGGCTTTGTCGACACCTTTCTCATCCATCCTTTGTTCATGCGCTTCTAACGAACTTTGCAACTCATCTTTGCTCAAAGTTGTTAGATCCTTTGACTCTTCAATAGCCACAACAATGTTATCGAACCGTGATGTTAACGAACGCAACACTTTTGATACAACATTTTGCTCAAGAATCGTTTTGCCACATGACTTGATTTGGTTGACTAACCGGGTAATGCGCGTAATGTAATCATTGATCGTTTCTTTGTCCTCCATTTGCGTTAGCTCGAATTGACGTTTGTAAGTTTGTAACCTTACCACCTTCGCTTTGACGGCACCGGCGTATGCTTTCTCCAAGATTTTCCATGCTTGCTTCGCGGATTCACAATCGCCAACCTTCTCGAAATTTTCGTTATCAACACAAGAGTGAATCAAGAACAGGGCTTTGTAATTCTTCTTCTTTTCTTCCTTGTGTGTAGCCCTAATAACTTCAGTAGCATCTGCCCCTAACGGTGTAACTCCATTGATGACGATCTCAAGAACCTATTGATAACCAAACAGAACCTTCATTTGTTTCGCCCATTTGTCGTAGTTCTTCGAATCAAAAATTGGGAGATTGGTGGGAATTCGATCATTAGAAACGGTAGCCATTGTTGCAGTGGATTAGGATCAATAACCGGAGCTCTTGATGCCAAATGTTAGAACAACATAAAACATAAAATCAGAATTTTGAAGGTAGTAGTAACAATGGTGAAAAGAAACTTAGAAAGAAGATGAATTGAGAGAAAGAGAGAATAGGAAAGAGAATAATATTGGATGAATCACTAAATTGACATTAACTATGAATTGGGATTACAACAATGTATATATACACATGAGAGAGTAATCAAAAAACAAACAAAACCAACTAAAGTGGTCAAAGCTGTTAAATTTCCAAAACAGAATTTGACTGCTTTCAACAATAAGTTAAATAAATCTAGTTTTCAATGTTTTTTTAATTAAAACATTCATTTAATTTTTAAAAAAGTCAGATTTGTTGAAATGGCACAATAGTCAAACGACCACCTCATAAATAAAGAGGACACATAATTAAAACGGGATGGGAACCACAAAAATTTCAAAAAAATTAAAATTAAAGGACCAAAAAATTGAATTTTGTAATATGGGAATCAAAAGTTAAAAACATCCTAAATAGAGGAACCAAAAGTCAAAATAATAATAGTATGTCTATTGGAAAAAGAATTGTGGAATGTAATTGGGTGTTTACCATAAAGTGTAAGACAACTAGATCAATTGAATATGTGTTCAATAAAAAGATTTGTAAACTTCTAAAGTCCTTTTATGGCTTGAAAAATAGTTTTCTCGTGAGCGGTTTGAAAGATTGTCCCAATTTATAAAGAAGCAAGATCCTCTCAGTGTCAAAGTGATCATACTATGTTTGTGAAACATTCTTTTGAAAGTAAACTTGTTATATTAATTGTTTATACATATGATATTGTAATCACTAGAGATGATTATATTGAAATAAGTAATTTGAAGACATCCCTTGCAAGACTTTGGATCACTAATGAACTTCTTAATCCAAACACACAATTTCACCAAATGCTTCTCATCTTCCTTTTATTTTATCTCTTTTAATAGCCTATGTTGATGTGGTTACCAAACATAAAGCACAGGTCCACTCTTTCTGCACTTCCTTTTAATAGCCTATGTTGATGTGTCTATCTGTGTTGTTCCTGCGGTTTCTACTATGTCAGATGATGTCTTTTGACTTGCCACATAGCATAGGTTCTCTAGCAGCAACAATAATAGCCACAAAAATAATGACCTCTTAGTGTGCCTCAGGTCGTAAAACTATTGAGATTAATTTTACGGTGCAGAGTGATGCAATGCACAACTTTGTTTTCTACAACTTGATCGATAAGTTCTACGGTAAATCACCTGATCCAAAGGTAGAATTTACCGATCTAATGATAGAAACAAACTTGTGCATTGTACAACACCTACTTCACTTGTGCACAAAAACTAACTTACGGATGAAAGAAACCTTACTTGCTTGGTTGCAGGAATTTCCTTTTTATCAATAGTCTCCAAATCTTTGATGTTTTTGTTGTCTATTTCAAGTCTTTGATTTCCATTTGTCTGCAGAAGAAGCTCCTTCATTAAGTACTATAAATGTTATGTGACAGAAACAAGTAGAATTGACTCATACAAGAACGGTGTTAATTTCACAGCACTTAATATCAAAATTTGACCTTCAGCATATCTATATTATCATTAGATATGGTTTCATTTGTCACTTCTGCTTCCTTTTGTTTCTGAATAGTAGGTTGCTTCTTTGCTATTAAAGCTGCAGCAGCGTCACGGTGTCTCCTTCCACTGAGGTGGGAGTTCAAGGTTATCTCGCTCGTGGTTGTTACCAAACATAATGCACAAGTCCACTCTTTCTGCATTTTCTTCGGTGTAGAAGAACTCTGAGAAACCTCTCCACCAGTTCTGTCACTCTCTGCTGTTCCTTTAGTTTCCACTGTGGCTGATGATGCACTTTGACTAGGCCCAACTTTAGGCATGACAGGAATATCCTGCAACAACATCCAACGATTAGCATAGAGACTAAGTATGTAAGACTGCCCAATATAATTGGGACAATAAGTCAGTCTTACTTGCTTGGTAGAATGAATTTCCTTTTTCTCAGTAGCCTCCAAATCTTTAATGTCTCGGTGCACAATTTGGAGTCTTTCTCCATTTGTCTGCACAAGGTCAAGTTCTCTCATTAAGTATTCTAAATGTCACCGAGAGATCAAAACATGTAGAATTGATTTATACAATAACTTGTAACATCAAAACTCTACCTTTAGCGCATTTTTATTATCGGTAGCTATGATTTCATTTGTCACTTTTGCATCAGGTCTACACATTGTATTCTATAATATGAAAAAAAAAAAAAGAATTAGCCAAACTTTTCAACTCTATGCAGATATAAAGACATATCACACACACATACACATGCACATACATGCTTCCCTGTATAATATTTAGCCTATGTTGTATTTGTACTCCCAACTTTTTTATACACCATATTCATATTGTGACATAGCTATTTACCTTGCTAGCAATGAGTTTCTCTAAGGCTTCAGTTCCATTCTCCTTCACATATCTCTCTGCATGCATCAAAAAGTCATCTTTCTCAACAAAACACTTCCTCCATGCAACTATTTGCAATTTCACGGGGCGAATAAAGTTATCATAAACATAAGTAGCCCGTCCAAAGTCCGGTATGGTGAGCAAGAAGATGATCATCAGCTTAATGTACAGCCAGACCCGCAACCTGATATGAAACATGTGAATGAAGTTTTTCCTGGTATAAAATTTCATAATTAGATTTTTGAGACAAAGAATTTACCATAGAAGAAGGCTCATAAAAGCATACTCAAAGAGATATATCAATGAAAGAAGTATCCAATATGAGATCAAATCCTTAGTTGCTGCATTGGAATCAGTCTCGATTGCTTGTACTGAGGCCCACCTGTCAAAAAATCAAAATAATGTGAAACCATAATCTATAAAAGATAGAAACTTTTTTAGTACAGCAAACACACATAACAATAACTTACATAGGATACATCAGAGCAACAAGAGGCCTAGAAAAATAGAAGGGTAATGTTGATTAGCATACATTGAAGCTAATAATGTAAAGATACATGAGGAATCATATAAGTGTTTTTTTCTCAACAAATTAAGAAGCATACCATGCAAAATGATGAAGAAATTTGAAAACCAGGTTGAGAAGGCATGATGAAAAAGCCATAAACGATCATGTAAAAGGAAAGTGTGAAGGTGAAGCAACTAGGTAAGGAAGTAAGCTAGAACAAACCAATATGAACTAGTGTATGTCAGAATTTGGTCAAATCAAACTCTCCTTCTTTTTTGAAAATTGTTACTACTCTGTTTCCTAAGTATTTCACCATTTTATATGGATTAAAAATATAATAATTAAATGAAAAATAATATAAATATGTTTATTTCTAATACCAAATCATTAATAAAAATGCCAAATTCAATAAAAAATAAAATAAAACGTAAAATTCTTAAAGGGAAGGTTTTTTTATATTATTTTCTTACATTTAAGATATTTATTTGTTATAAAAGAAGTCATTCATTTTTGAGAGAATTATAGTCATTTCGCTTGAGATGAAATTTATTAAAATGAAATTGATATCTCTTATGATTTATGCATAAATATTTTTTAAAATATATAAAAATGGTCTTGATATTCTTTCTGTGACAATAAAAAATAGTAGGTATAATAATATTTATCTATAATTCTTTTTTTGTCAATTAAAAGAGAGTGTCATTGTCATTTTAACATAGCTCTCATAGATGAATGTAAATTTCTCTTCATTTTTATTTTTTAAATTAATTTTATTTATTATTTATGAAAATTAAATTTAGATTCTCCATTTTAAAATTAATGTTTTGTCTCTTAGTTTCATATTTGATCTGACCTGATCAGGAGGGGATCACGGGTTGGCCACACGCTGTTGGGCTGCTACCTGTTCACCGGTGATGAGGAGGAGAAGGGGGTGTACCTGCAAGACACTCCGATGCCAAAGTAAGAAATTGGGCAGAGTGAGAGAAAAGTACAGAAAGGGCAAGATGTCAATTACCTGACCCTCTTGAGGAAGAGGGTATTTATAGAGAGACCCCAGCGCTGGGCCAACGGTCACTTGTGTTGGGCTGGATGGCCAGGCCCAACCCAGGTGACTGCTAGGGCTTACGTGGCGTAGTGAAGACCAGGACGTGGTCTTCGCCCTAGTCCAACTGTCCCGTGGTCTCCGGAAAGTGGGTTTGACCTGCTCTTTCGGAGGTGGGCAGTTGGGGATGACGTGTCCCCGCGGAGGGGAGCACGTGGAGAACGTGCACCGGGCACGTTGTTCTCCCCGCGGAGGAGAGCTTGGGAGGTACCCCGGAGCACGTTGTTCTCCTCGCGGAGGGGAGGAACCAAGGTCGTGCTCTGGTGCGCCGGGGTAGGTTCTGTTCGGCTGGTAAGAGGGGACGACGAGATGCTGTTGGATGCGCTGCTTGTGTCCGGCAGCTGTTGGTGTAAGCCCTAGAGGCCAATACTTTTTGGTACTTGTATCGGATTATTCGTTTAATAATAAAAGGCATTTCTTTATTATGTTTGTCTTTCAGAATAATAAAGTCCCTAGAATAGTTAGTTTGTTTAATGAAATGTTAAGTGTGACTTAATCATGAGATCCCATTAAACATAAAGACATTATTCTTAAAATATCCGTAGTCAAGCTTTATTGCAAAGTGGGATAACATTAAAAGCATTGAGACTATTATGAAGATAGACTGATGATCACATCTCATGGATCATGGATAAAGAGTTATCAAGTCTTGACATAGGTATAAATATTAGGAGTAATATTTATACCGGATTGACCCGCTATGAGAATACTACATAGTATATTATGCAAAGTGTCATAGGTTATTCTCATGGTGATAATGGTGTATTACCACCCTTCGACCTGAAACCACTATGGACCCTAGATGTAGAGTCGGGTGCTTTATTGATGATCAAACATTATCCGTAACTGGATGATCATAAAGACAGTTGATGGGCACTCCACGAAGCATGCTGAGGGACATGAGTGTCCTAGATGGAATTTGCCAATCCTGCATAACAGGAGAAATGTCTAAGGGCCCAATATTGAACTGGACAAGGATGACACAGTGTATGCCTTGTGTTCAATATAGACATAGGGGCAAAAGGGTAATTGTACAAACATATATTATCACGAAAAAGGTTTTGTCATATCACATGACATTTTCGTGACTTGGGTAGCAGTGATGTGTTGCTAGATACCGCTTACTGTTTATTATGTTAAATATATAATTTAATATAATTACCAACGTTACGAAATCCTACAGGGTCACACACATAAGGACAGTTTGATGAGAGATAGAGAAATCAAAGGAACACCGTAAGGTACGGTGCACTTAAGTGAAAAATAGAAATTCGGATAATATAATAATAATTATTGTTATTTTATAATGGTTATAAAATAATAATAAAATAAATATATTTATTATAATAATAGTTATTATAATAATATATAATATTATTATGGATCATGTGAATTGGGTTTTTAGCCCGCAGCCCACAAGAGAGTCTATAAAAGGAACCCTTGTGATGAAGCTTTCACTTGATGCAATTTCGTTTTTGATTCTCTTTTCTCACTCAAATAATTCCGTTCGTAAGCAGCTATCACTGTGACCGGAAGCTGTTCGTGTGGACTGAGTAGAGGCGTTGCACTTCATCAACGCTTGTGATCGCTGCATCAAAGATCTGAATCGCCACAAAGAGGTAACGATTCTATCACTGACCATGCTCATTCGTAAGGATCACTAAAGGAAATTTTTGTTTTCCGCTGCGTTTAGATCGCAATTTTCCTTCAGTGGTATCAGAGCCACTTACGAAACCATGGATCTGATAGCTGTTAAATTTCCGTCTTTTCTGTATTTGATTCGATTAAAACACAGAATGAATTTAACAATAAACGATTAATTAAATTTGGCATCTGTTGTGTACGATTTGGATGATTGATGTTGATTATGCTTCAGAAACCGACATTAGTATGGTGAAGTTGTGCGATACATTGATCATCCATAGGTTACACAATTAGATCGATCACTTTTATATAAGATATAAGAAATTCTGATGCAAAGATGGTATATGGGATATACTGTTTTGATTTCATCCATTCAATCACATAAGGATTTTAATTCTTTTGAAAGATCATCATTTTCATTCGCTTCGGAATCCGACGTTAGTATGGTGAAGCAATGACATGTTGATCTATCATATTGAGTTATCAATCGAGTTGTGTTTGACGGCATGAAATTGTTGCATTAGGATTAATGGCAGTACAAGTGTTGTATTGCCGCAGACTTTTCCGGTTGGGGTTGTAAATGCACAAAAGTTGTGCAGGAAACGACGTGAAATACAATGAAGTGTTCATAAAATTTTTCGCTGGGGCACTGCCCCTAACAACCCCGCAAGGAGGCGCTGCCCCCTTGACCCCCGTCCGCTCCCCGGCTAAGTCTGCAAAGTGTGATCAATCAGCCGAAATTTAATTTAGTTTATTTAATTATCGGAATTTTAAACTAATAATAAAAGTGTGTTTATTATTATTTATTTGTGGTGATCAGTTATGGCCTTAGTTTTTCCTTTATTATTGTTTTGGGATTTTTTGAATACGGCCTGCGTGTCGTGCCTCTCTCTCAATCTCTTTATGTAACTTCTTTTCTCATCTCACTCCCTCGTATGTAAAACGAGTTTTCTTATATGTAATGTAATATTATGTTATGAAAAAAAAAGGAAGTATTCAATATTAAAGTAGGATAACCTTGGAGATCATGCTTGGAGAAGCTTAGATCGTTATTAGGTTAGCTTAGGTTCTCTCATTGGCTTGAGAGAACAATTGCGTTAGGGGCCATAATTGTATCTTTTTTTTTATATGTATGTTGATGCATGTAATTGTATGTTGATGCATGTGAGAGACGTTTTGCATGTTAAGCCGGTGAGATCAAACTAATAACAAATTCCCTCAAAATTAAATATTAAGTTTATGCTTTCCAATTTTTAGCACTCATCAAGACTAGTATCGAGCATTGTAGGTTTCGCCTACGCGAGGTGCATGTTCTATATTAGTAAGGTGTGATGGGATAATTGTAATATCCAATTGCTAAAACAATGGGTCAAACTTAACTAAACAAATTATAATAAGATTATATATGTTTAGAAGTAAGAATTGGGAATGATTCATGTGATGGATCAGAATAAGGAGTTATTCACCCAATTGAAAATATTCGAGAGTTGTATGAGATACAATTGGAAGGAGTTCCTACCTAAATAACTTAGTTTTGTGTAATCAGCCTAACGCTGACTTAAAACAAAGTGAAACATGGATCTCGACCCACTAGAAAGTCTTCCAACGGGATTTTCCGAATCAAATGATGAGGGTCATTTGTTTTGAATAAAATAGTGGGAGCATATTTGATTAAAGGCCTAATTAAATATGTTGTTTTAATGATACTTATATTTTCATATTTCTCTTGTAGATTACCATGACAACAAACACATCGAACAATATTTTGCGATCCATCCTAGATAAGGAAAAATTGTCTGGGACAAATTTCCTGGATTGGCACCGTAATCTGAGGATTGTCCTCAAGCACGATAAGAAGCTGTATGTCTTGGAGACACCAGTTCCTGAGGAGGAACCTCCTAGTTCTGCACCAAAGGCAGAAAGAGATGCTTATAAGAAGCATTTCGATGATGCCAATGAAACCGCTTGCCTCATGCTTGCTACCATGAACTCTGAGTTGCAAAAGCAACACGAGAACATGTCTGCGTTCGATATGATCGGACATCTGAAAACGCTTTATCAAGAGCAAGCAAGAAATGAGAGGTTTCAGGTTTCAAAGTCCCTTTTTAACAACAAGTTAGCTGAGGGAGCCCCTGTAAGTCCCCATGTACTCAAGATGATTGGGTATGTGGAGAACCTTGACAGATTAGGGTTTCCCCTTGGAAAAGAACTTGCGATTGATCTGATCTTGCAATCGTTGCCAGAGAGCTTCAGTCAGTTTGTCCTGAATTTCAATATGAATGACTTGGACAAAAGTCTTCCAGAACTGCTAGGCATGTTGAGAACTGCTGAGCAGAATATGAAGACAAAAGGGAAATCCATTCTGATGGTCAGTAATGGAAAGAAACAGAACAAGAGGCCCATCAAACAG